CCTGGGTATGGTTCTCTGTATCTTTCCCATCGATGATTTGCATGGCCAAGTGATCCATTCCTTCCCCACCTGTCTTCCCCGGGAGCCGACCCCTACCCGATCTCGGCCTCCACTTTGGGTAGGCAAGCCCTGGACATTCCCAGACTACGCTCCTCCTCAAGTCACACACATCCCTCTCTGTATCCCAAACTTCCTTCTCTCGGCAGGGGACCCCACAGATCTGGGCCTGTGGTTCCAGGCTCCTCCCAGCGGACAGCCTTACCATGCAGGAGACAGCACCCTTCCTCCCAGCCCCCACCCAGGACCGCGATTGGCCTGGCCGGGTCACGTGCCTGCTCTAGTCAGGTGGCCGGGCAGAGGCACTAGGCCAAGGCCACTTTCACTAGCACCTGGTGTTAGAGTGAGGGAGGACCAGTCCTCCAAAGACGCGAGATGACATTCCGGGGGGACAGAACAAGAGGGCCACCGCAGGCTCGCTGAAGAACATGAAAACAGGTACAGGAAAAAGAGAAAGCTCGCGCCATCTCCTTCCGCAGCATTAGCCATTTTGAACATTTTCCTTTCTACCCTTTCAGACATTGGCCTGTGTGAGTGAGTGGATTGTCACATGTATGTACGTGCTGTGAATGTGCCGATGCGTGTCATTCATTGAGGCCGTGCAGCACAGCCCTCTCCTCGGCTCTGACGCTCCCTTTGCTCTGCCTTCGGCCAGGTTCCTCGCAGGCTCCTGCAGCTGAGCCCCTGGCCTGCTGCCGTGACTTTTGTGTCTAAGTGAGTGCATGCAGGAGCGGATTTCTTGAGCTTCCCTGGCCTTCCTTGGCAGAGATGTTCCATCAAAGCCATCTTTTAGCCACGTGGGGGCTGTAGCCTGTAGCGCTGGGCTGTCCCAGGAGGCCATGCCCCGGGCTGGGCCCCGGCTGGGAGGTGGGCAGCCGGGGCTGGAGGGGAGGCCGTGCCGCCTGTTCGGAGATGTCTGGGCCTTTGTAAAGTTTGTGGAACTTGAACGAGTCAGAGAGACGTAGACAGACAGACAGAGAAGCAGCTTCCCCCTCACGTCTTTCCTGGAAAGACGAGAGCAACTGAAAGCCAGGCACTTTCTAGGACAAAGATGTCTCGGCAAGGCCTGCAGGACGAGGAGGAGAGGCTGGGGTACTCCCTGCAGCCTGCTCTGCTCCTCCGGGTTGTGGTGGGCCCAGGGCGAGGCTCTGCCCAGGGGGGCTCGCCGCTGCTTGGAAAGAGCTGGCCACAGCGCCCCGGAGCGCTGGAGGTTATTCATGGCGGGAAGGCAAAGGAGAGGGGGACAAAGACTTCAACCGAGACCTCATGGCCTGTTGGGGAACCCGCCCCCCACTCTGATGGAGCAGCTCTGGTCCATGCTCTCAGCTGTGTTCTGCCCCTGGTCCTTGCAGTAGGAGAACTTTGGAAGGAGGCAGAGGTGGAGCGGTGAGGAGGAACTGGCCTGTGCCCAGACCCCCTCACCCACAGGACTACACTGCCAGACAGTGGATGGGGAGCCCCAGGGCAGGCTGCACCCAAAGGTCAGGGTAACGGGCACAGAAGCTTCAGTGAAGTGTCGTGGTGGTGGGACCATGCAAGTCACCCCGGGCTCTCTGGCCAGCCTCTGTCCTCCCAAGTCACGCAGGCCGTGCCCATGGGCTCTGGCCCATGGCTAAGGAGGGCTGGTGTGAAGAACATTCTTTGGACGTGAGGTGGCAGTGCAATTGCTTACAGGCTGATCCCAGAGCCGCCATGTGTTGAGCTGGATTACGTAGTCATTCTGCGGCCTGAGCACGGCCACCTGCAAGCCGTGCGGCCTGGCCACCCACCTGTCAGCGGGACCCTGACCTTCCCCGTCAGGGTGGCGGAGGCGGGGCTGCGTCTCTCCCTTTGTGTTCAGGGAAGGTGTTGGTGGGGACGTAGGGGGGTGACCCATCCACCCTGGGCAAGACCTGCGGGGTGGGCCCAAGCACCCACGCCCCTCACTGCGGATTCTGACTGTGCTGGCGTCCTCTGCTCTCTGGGCTCCTCTGGGTGGCAGCACTGGGGGACTTAGTCCTGCAGGACCCTCTCTCGCCTTTGATAAGCTCACCACACACCCCACTCAGCCGAGGGCGTGAGGGTCACAGGGCCACCTGTGCCACCCCTCCACCTTCCAGGGCAGCTTCGGTGTGTTCCTGGCCAGCCCGGGGCTTAGAGCAGGGACAGAATGGGAGGCAGCTGCTACTTTGTCCAAGCCCCTGTCCTCAGGCCTTCGCCTGAATTTCGTCACAGGGCGGGCCTCCCAGGCCGCCAGGGGTCCCCTCCCGGGGGCAGCCTCCTGGGCCCAGGGCTCGCTGTGGAGCCTGAGAGAGGCCGCAGGCCCCTCCTGCTCCCCATGCTTCCTCCTCTGGGAGCTCCCAGTGCTAAAAACAAGCTTTCTGAGAACCATATTTTTCTAGGTTAAAGGTGAAAAATGCAGTGTTTCCTCCAAGTGGAGATCTGGCCGCCAGCTCCGGGCACTTTTCCGAGCTCCTTCCTCCCACTCAGGGAGGGCCGGGCGGAGGGCGGGGCGGCCGTCGGAAGGAAGCGCTGGTCACTGGGCCAGGGCTGCTGGAGGGGGAGCAGGGCCTGTTTGTGTTGGAGCAGCCGGGCTGGAACAGGACGGGCTCCGGAAATGAGAGGCGAGCGAGGGGGCGGAGAGCAGGCAGCTCCCAGCGGTGCCTGGCAGGCCGGTCATCTCTGCCTCCCAGCTTCTGCGGCAGCAGCGAGGGGACGAGGGAGACCCGCAGACCTTCCCGAGAGAACCCCAGGACTGGGCTCAGAGGAAATAGGGGGTTGTGGCCGTCAGTGTTACTAGGAAAAGCAAGAACA